TGCTGCGGCTGCGGCTGCTGCTGCTGCGGCTGCTGCTGCTGCTGCTGCTGCTGCTGCTGCTGCTGCTGCTGCTGCTGCTGCTGCTGCTGCTGCTGCTGCTGCTGCTGCTGCTGCTGCTGCTGCTGAACCTTCATGTTGTTGCATAGTGCGGACTTACACACATATGTTTGTGTTGTTGCTTTTGTTTACAAATGTCTTTTGCATATGTGGAACGTCCCATCATATTTACTGTTGGAATAGAGTCTGGTGTGTCATTATGGTATAACTATCAGATCTTAACGATAAGGAATAACCATGCTGGTTATTCAGGCCCCTCTATTTCCGGGAACAGCTGTTCCCAATCTGACACGGCCAAGCTGCAGGGACTAATGACTAATGTAAACTCTCAGACACTAAACCCCCGAAAACCAAATGCGACATCCCTGAGCGCTACACCCTAAACTTAAACCCCAACCCCTGAACCTTAAACCCTAAACCCTACACCCTAGGCCCTAGACCCTAAACCCGAATCCCTAAACCCTAAACCATGGCTAGCCCCTTTAAACCCAAGATCCTAGACCTTCGGTGCACTCGGAGCTCTGAGCTGCATCCACACCCCTCAACCCATCCAAATCCCTCGCCGGTACAGCGAAAAGCCTGTTTATTATGAGAGTTCTGTGCGGATTTTATAGCGTCTTAAAGCGGCTGTGCACATCCGGGCTATGCAGGGCTATGTAAGGTTTGTAAACGCAGTGCATGGCAAAGCTCAGAGAACCAAATCTGTCTTCTCATTGCCCCTGCTTGCATCATAAGCCAACCTCTTAAAGGGACTTAAGGGCCCCTAAACAACCCAACTGTACCAAAACCCTTGTAAACCTCTTTTAAACTGAACCAAAATGCACATAGGAGATCGTATCAGCACAGTGAACGAACCCAGCGGAACGCAGGCCCTGTGATCCTTAGTATAGGGGCCTTAATAATCAGAACCAGGGTTTTTGGGGCAATACGTACTATATGGGGATACTGTTACTACTCTAAACCCTAAACCCAGTTATTATTTCCATCCCTGAGTTAGTTTTGTCGCTGCTGTTGACGCTTGAACCTTTCTGAGATGCCGAACTGCCGAGGGTTTAGCGCTCGCAATAAGATCCAGAGCTGAGGGTTGCGAGGGTTTAGGCTTTAGGGTTTGGGGATTTAAGTTGGGGTTTCGGATTCAGGTTCGGATTTCGGTTCAGGTTTAGGGTTCAGGGTCTAGGGGGTTTTATTGTTTACTGTTTAGGGAGATATGCACCCTTTTGACTTGCTCATCTACAACATAGGTGCTTGGGACTTGCTTGGCCCTGCCCCCGCTGTCCTAAGCACATTGATGGCCAGAAGTGTATGGTCATGCAAACCTCGAGTTGGCTTCGGATGTCGAGCATTCCTATACTCTTCAGGGCATCCTTCAAGGGTGTCTGTAAATAACAGTTCAAAAAAAAAATATGTATATATATATATGTGTGTGTGTGTGTGTGTCTATATATATATATAGCCCCCATGGTTGTTCCTATCTTGGGTTACCTTATGAGATCATAAATATAAAAGACTGGTTACACCCAAACAGGAACCGCAATGGAGACGATAGGTGTAGGGTTGGGCTAGCAAGCGAACCCTAGACAAGAAACGTACACCCTTGATCTTTCTAGGATCGAACACAACGTAAGGTAGTTTCCCAAATCGAGCGCTTTGGGTTCTCTGCTCAGGCTTGGGGTACAGTTTCCATGGAGCTGGAAGGAATTTGGACAGATTTAATTTGGAGAGGTGGGGCGCCGTCATGTGGTATTCAAAAGGCAGGCCCTAAACCCTGTCGTGATTTGAGACGAAGCAATTCAGCGTTCCCTGAAAGATACTGCAGGTTGTTCGCGAGGAGGGCACAATAGCTTCAGATTCTCACAGCTCACGGTTCTGGGTTAAGGGTTCGGGCTTGCAACCCTAAACCCTAAACCCTAAGCCAAGTACAGAACTTCGCATCACAGCTCCGAAGCCTCAAGATCACCTGTCCAAACTGAAATGCCGAACCCGAGATAACCCTGAAGCAACCATGCTATGATATCAGACCCTGCCCTAAAACCTACACAGAAGACCCAAATACGAAACCTTTCGGCCATCACTCACCCTAATGTAGGGGCCTTAATAATTAGAATAGGGTTTTGGGCTGCCTTATACTATAATGATAACAAGGAATCCTAAGGAATAATATTGGTAATTGTTCAGGCTTC